AATAAAACATCTAAGAGAAGCATTCTCCTTATATCACCACTTTAAAACATCAGTTCAGACAAAGCTCCAACTCTGCAAGGGCAGAGGTCTAAGTTAATTTTAAAATACCAACTCTTAAGAAATTAAAGGGAAGATGTGCAAGGGCCGAGGTCTAAATTAATTTTAAAATACCAACTCTTGAGAAATTAGGGGGAAGATATTAATGAAGAACTAGTACTACGTGAGCTTTCTCCAGCATCATCACAAAGTGCTCCTACACCACTACATCTATTTGCTGTCTCCGATAGCCTGCTGGCACACGTTGGGAGATTTTAATGGGACACTAGAAAAAGGTGAAAAAGAAAAAATTGAACAGGTACATAGGGTCCTCTAAGTTTCCAGGCTCTCTGGTGGTGGCTACCGACAGCACCGCAAAGCTGCTTTCACTTCTCCCCTCACAGTGAACCGGCAGAAGAGGCGCTGGGTCTGCAGTCTGAGCATCCCGGAAAGCTCCGGCAGCCTGGAGCCCAGGGCGGCTAACCCGCACGGCTCTGCCAGCGCCTGCTGCATTCAGGCTCGGCGGCAGGAGCACACGGAAGGCAGTGCCGGCTGCTCGGACGCAGTGGGAGAAGTCCTCTCTGTCGTCACCTGCATCACCAGCCCCGTAATGGCTGCAACACTGATTTTATGGGAGGAAAAAAAAAAAGGAAAGGAAAAATGAGCCTCTACAGATCGAGAACAAAAGCATAGTGAAACGTCTGGACAGATTCTCGAAATTCATTGTTGTCTCCTACCCCTGAGCTGGAACAGATGTGGCACCTCCCGGCTGCCCACCACCCTCCACGCTCCGGCAGCACCGGCACCAAACCCTCGCCAACAGCCCGACGGCCCACCAGAACCACGCGCCCCAGCACCCCGGTTCTGGGAACAGGAGACAGATGCTCAACCCGGCCCCAAGGGAAGTTAGAATAAATCCAACACGTTTTATTTCCTTCGACAAACACGGGTCAGCCTGTGACTGCCGCATCCGCCAGCAAGGGCGGTCTCACCCCTTTGGCCCCTCGCTTGGATGATCTCAAGGTCCCTTTCAGCTCTGCCTTCACGCTCTTAGAACTGAGGCTTCAAGTGCATGCATGAGCATTTTACATCTAATTTTAAAATGTCAGCACTGTCAAATTTCAGTACCTCTACTATTTCAATTCAAGAGGGCTATAATACTGAGCCTCGTTAGGCCCTCTGCTTAGATCTGAGACTGAATTCCTTAGGACTGATTTCTAAACACTGCTGATTTCCCCACACATACTATCTCCTTAAATTTAATCCTTTGCTTAAAAGAAAAGTTCTACTCCTGAGTCTTTCTTTCCAAAAAAGCCAGTATTTGGCAACACGCTGCAAAAATTACTAAGTTTCAACTTCCCCTGTCAACCTCTATGACAATCAGGTTTTTTTTTCACAGTCCATAAGATAAATCAGAGAGTCCTCAGCTCCTAATCACCAGTGGCATCCACACCACGTTACCCCAGCCGATACTGCAGGCAAGCTGGCAAATACCCAGTAAGCTCTTAATAAAGCATCTGGCATAACACACAACTTCATTTAGCAGTGATTTCCTCTTTCTCCATGTGTAACACACTCTGCCCAGCATTCTTTCTGGCTTATTTATTACCCACTGGCTGTTAAGTAAGAAGAAGGTCACTCCTATTTGTTCTTAAAGACCAAATTCAGCTTCAAAATGAATTAGTATTCAGACCAATAAACAATTGGTCTGAATACTAATCAAGTCTCCAATATAGATGCACCAGAATAAAGTGATGCCCTCTTGCACTTTCTTCCCCTCCTTTCTACCCTGCTCTTTCAAATTACCAATGAATGCTCACTCAATTATAAAAATAATGCATGTGAAATATGAGAAAAGAAGCCCTCAAAATAAAATAGGAGCGTTTCTATAATAACAAATGCAAGTCCTATGTCAGCTGAATGTACTTTTCAGCTACAAGCAGTATCTCTCCATTTCCTAAGTCTCCATTCTAAATCAGTTACCCTTAACAGACACAAAATAGCTTAAGTAAAGGGAAAGCAAAGTACATTTAGGTCACACTTGGAATCACTCGAAGGGTGTTGCATGTGATCTACACAGCTGTACAAACCATGGTGACAAACCATGGCCGAGCAGGAGTAACAAAAGTCTTTAAAAAAAAAAAAGAGATACCTATTATATTGTGCTCGGAGGCTCTTCAGTAGCCTGTGCTCTGGAAGCAGAGCTAGCCATATGGTTTATTGTCCTCATGCAGTATCTCGAGGCAGTTTGAACAATGGCTGTTCAGAGTTAGTAGACATTTTAAGCATAAACTTTATGGTGAGAACTTAAAAATCAGTCAGTGACACAAGGCAGCAAAGCCAAGTCCGTCGGGGAGCCTTACTGTTTGCTCCAGACACGACAGAGCTGGGGTGCTGCTCTGAACAGCAGAGAAAGCAAATGGAAGTAGCTGGCTTTTCCGTGTTTTGCAATGAGCTGTAGCGCATCCGAGAGAAGACCCTCCAGCCCCGCTGCGAGGTGAAGGACAACCTACTTGGTCTCACAGAACTTCAAGAACACAAAGAAAGCAAACGGCTGTCAGCAGGGAACCAAGCAAACACCTGTGAATACATTTTAAACCCTGAAAATTCAGTTGTTCTCTAAAAGAACACTTCAATAATTTACATAGCAGGGAAAAAGACTCGGCTGTTCAGCACTGCTTCGCAAAGACGCACCTTATTGAAGACCCAGATCTCCCCATTTACTGTTGGCCTGGGGACGCCATGTCCATTGTAGTGGAAAAGAACCCGCATTTCGACGCAGAGATGTACACAGTTTCTTAACTTCATCCACCGTAGGATCAAGACTCTGCTTGTACCTGGCCTAGTAACATAAAATGTAAGATAATCATTTTAAGTGTAAAAACAAATCTATTTAAGATGCAGGCACCTAGTTAAGACAGAAGCATGTATATAAACTGGTTACATTGGAAAAAGAAAACACAAAACATTTACTGTAGAGCTGAAAAAACCAAATATATCTGCTACTGGTGTTTGGGCTTGCACATACGGTAACAACACAGGTTTGACTGAGTTTATCGCATCCCTGAACTCCGATCCATTTCACCTGGGGATTACTAACATTCAAAATGCCTTAGGAAGGTCAAATATGTTTTCGACATTAGCCGGCCTCAAAAATAACCCTGCACAATTTTCTAATCCTCAAATTCATAGCCTGTACACCTCCAACTGAACAAAATTCCCTCTTAAAGATAGAAAATTGTAGAAAACAGATATTCCGTAAACCTCAAATCTCATACGGAAATGTTCCTTCCCTCCCATCTGGGAAAGGGGGACAGCTCTTGCTTCAAGCCTTAAAAGGAACGAAACTAGCAGAGTGAAGGGTAGAGGAGGAGTTCAGACAGCTATCCTTCATGGAGTAAGAATAAGAATAGCAGCAGCCTCATCCTCTTCCTAAGCCCTGACCAGTCCATTCCCCTTTTATTAATAAGGCACATACAGAACAAGCCTGGCCAACACCTCTGCCAACAGGTTAAACCGAGGTGGGCTCTTGCCTTTTCTAGATGGACCCACAGCAGACACAGTGAAAAATTTTATGGCCAAGAGTTCGTCTTTAAAAAGAAACATGGCCAGCTTCTTGCAGCTATACTACATGCACTATGGGCATGCTCATTTTCAGTGCAGAGTTTACTTGGAACTTGCAGGTGTCTCCAGCCCAGCAGCTCATCACCACTACTGGTTCCACCAGGCCACAAACGCAACCGTGGCTCAAGAGCTCGTCTGCTCTTCCCGTGCACGAGCCCTACAGAAGACTGCTGACTAAATGCACAGCAGTTTTCAAAGTAGGCTAGTTACCTGCAGATACTGTAAGAGACTACAGAAACCTACCGAATTACAGAAAAAAAGAATAAATGTGCAATCAGCAAGTACATGACCGTTTTAGTTAACATTCAGTGATAGATAAAACCAGGAAAAAAAAAAATCAAAGCAATCTAGCATAACACTGCCATACTTTTAAATTAACTTATGAACTATCAGCTGCTAAGACCAGGCACCAGGTTACAGCAGACTGCATTGCACCCCCCTCCCTAAAGAAGCGTTATGAATATAACAATATTTCATAACCTCTCCTCAAACAGCTTATGCTTTGAGACGACAACATTCTCAAGATAAAAGTGCACAAAGGTCTCAGGAATCTGATACTCACACAGCTGGGGAAGAAGAGTTAAAACTGATCGAGAGCCCTTGGCAACCGACCCTTGCTTTTAGCAAAATTTTATATTCAATACCATCACAACTTTGGCTGTGGACACTACATTATCGTTCCTAGCTATACAGCTCTACAAGCACATAAATCAGAATACGTTTCTATGTTTGAGGAAAAAAATCCCACCCTGTTAAAAACCCCCAATACTTCAAAAACATTTTCACTGGGCTAAGTTCAAGATGCCTATGTAGTAGCTAGTTTGTCATACTCAAAAGTGCATTTTTTTGAAGCAAGGCCAAATAATAACAAAAAGTCTTTCAACTGTCCTTTGAAAGATAAAAGCCTGTTTCTTCCTCTCTTCTCCAGACCTGCAGAGAGAGACTGAGGATCCAGAATCACAACGGCTTAAAAAAATTAAAGCCAATGTATTGAAATAAAGAACCAAGTTTAAGGGCAGGACAACCGTATACATAACTCTACAAAAATCTGCTATTGAAATCCTTTTTATAAACCCAATCAAGGTCCAGAAGTTTGGGCTTTTTGGGTTTTCTTCTATGACAGGCAAAGATAAGAAAGTCTTAAAATACCATAGTAAAAGAGAATGAAGAACTTTAATATAAAAATGTTTTGTTTATCTATGAAGCTTGGAAAACAGATATCACACTGCTCAATTAATATTCAGCATCTCAAGCCAATAGGCAAGATGGATACAACAAATGGCATCATTGCATGATTACAACAACGAAGAAAAGCAAGCAGAAGGAGAAAAAAATATTAAGAAAGAACCAGTGATCTGACACACTCATCCTTTTGGGGAACTTCCGCACTAAGTAAAGGTAAGAGGCTATATTAATCTTAGCACAGACCCCCCCATACCTCTTTCTCACTCCTTTCAGTGTTGTTACGAAGGCGCTGATTTGCAAAAATGTGCACCTTAAATCACATTCTGCCTGCTGGCATCTTTACAAGACGCTATAACCGGAGTGGTTGGTAATTTTTCAGCTCCTTTTTTTCAAAGGAGAACACGCTCATTCGAACGCTCCTCACGTCCTTTTAGCATAAATATTAAACACAGCTCGCAATTAATGGAGGTGAATTCATACTCTAAAACTAAAGCCTGTAGATCTAAAGATCCAAACGGTAAACATATCATTTGCGCGCTGAGAAACACAAGGCTGAGAAGAATGAAAAGGAGAGGAGGGAGCCTGTAAATAAGCTGTCTTAGTCCCACCTGTCAGCTCAGGACTCTCAGCCGTGAGTTTATTACGCATCATTCGTGCACGTACAACAAGAAACAGGTATCCGAGTAACAAACTAGACCAGGTGGTGTTTTTTTTAATTCTTCCCCACACCCCCCCCCAAAAAAAGAATCTTCAAGACTTTTTTCATTGGTATGCAGAAAATAGTGGGAGAGTAAGTACAGTAATTACAAGAAATATTCGGGGCTTGTTCATCTGATTGGGGTGTAGGGTGTTAGTTTTGGGGGGAGAGGAGGGGCTTCCTGTTTTATGCGATGCTCTGTGGGACAGGGTGCTATTTTTAACAACTGTTAAAAACAAATAAGGTCTCCTTCCAGAACAGGACTACAGAAACTGAAGGTCTTTGAGAAGAAATACAGAAACAGCAAAAAAACCCTGCTAACCCATGGGCTGCCACTCTGCCCAGCACCAGAGAGCACAGGAGCGGTGACCAGCCCCGCAGCATCCCGTCACGGTTAGCACAGCCGACACCCAGATGAGCTGTGCTCCAGGAAGAGTCACCGATTCAACAATTCTACCTTTCCTTTCACAGTATGAAGAAGCATTTTTTTAAACATTGTTTTAGTTCTCATACAAAAATTTTGCATTTTAGCATCACTACCCTTTTGGTGAATAGTTTCCTTTTGTCACTCTCCTGTATTTCCTTCCGTCGTTACTCATTTGTCTTCCCTGGTGACGTTGTGCTGCATCCCTCCCCTTCCACTTCCAAACAGGTGCTTTCAAGCAGTAGTTAGTGCAAAAGGTAACAGAGATCCTAACCTAAACCCTCGAAAGGTCTCTTGGGCTTAATCTCAGCAGCTTCTGCTGAAATCATGGACACGCAACAAGGCTTTACGTCTTGTTTTCCCTTCGTTTTTATGAGCTATTGACCAGTTCCAGATTGGTACTGCGTCTGAAGACCATGCTGGCCTTCCCTGCCTTCTACTGTGTGTTGATGGCAGGTATTTTCTGGTGTTTGGCAAGGAGTCTTTGCTTCCTGACGCAATTATCAGACAAGACAATCTAGCCTTCGATTCCTCTGCAGATGACGCCCAGCTGAATCTCTTGCTGCCAGCTGATGTTGCAATCGTAGCACTGGAGCTGTCAAAAAGCCCAACCGGAGCACCGTGATGGACAAGCATGAAATTGCTGACGGTGATGTCAGCTGGCTTTCTGGTGTGAATTTGATTTTCTGATCACCTCAGTGTCTCACTGAAGAGCTCCTGTCAAAAGCAATAACTTTGTGGCGGCCTGATCCAGACTATCTTCATTATTCTACTCACGCAGGCAAAATTAAAAATTTTGCTTGTTTATGTAATATTGCCACACTTTTATGAAACACTCACTTGTTTATCCAACGTTTTTCCTGTATACTTGTTTTAAAATACAATTATTATGCTCATTTTTAAGACATTTTAATTTTCAGTACGCCACAAACTTCTGGATTGACAAGACACTGTATTGACAAAGTGGCAGGAAATAGGAGGAGCTTCAAAAGAAAGGAGTTCTGGCACCCAAAACAGGAAAAGAAAACAGTTTGGGGCTAAATACCAAGTGCATTAGCTAGATGTTTTTGCTGTGGACATTAACATTAACCATGCTTAATGCTGACATTTAAAGGGAGACGGGTTTGCTCTAAAGCAGTTATGCTGATCGCCTATTGACACGCTCTCTCAGAATTACTTTCCAAATGATTTCCAAATTTCCTATCATGGTAAAATCAAAGCAATCATCTTTAAGAGAGAAAACAGGGATTCTCTAAAGATGTGATCTATCGAAACCGTATCATTTCCTTATCCAAGACGAGAGCAACGTTCTGGCTGTATCTGGTCTGAAAACCGTCGTTAGGGTCTACACCAGCGCCGGGTCATCCTCACCAGGGCGAGCGAGCGAGGTCCAAACGAGCCAGCAGCGCAGGGCTGACAGACCGGTGTAATTAGCAGGTCTGGGACAACAGCAGGGGAAAGCTGGCAGCGGGCAAAGCAAGCAGAGTTACAAGTGAATAGGCAGTCAGCGCCTCGGCCAGCCGCGCTAAAAGGGCTGCGCTGGTGACACCGGGGCTCAAACACAAAACGCAGCAGCAAGAAAGCACAAGCGTTGTCCCATTTGTTTCATGAGGGATTTAGTTCTTTCAAAGGATAAATAAAACACCCACATGTTTACTGATTAGCAGGTGATAGCAGTAACCTCTCCAAGATGAGTCTGTCTGGAGGGGGAAAACCAATTCACTGTGTTCATCAGCTTCTATCCCACTGGGAAATGTCAGGACGTATTGGCCGCATAAAGTAATTCCCACAGTTCTGTGGATTTTGTGCTTAAATTAATGGCTCTGCTTTGGCAACTTCACCTAATTACAGGGTTTTTTTCTTTTACTTTAAATGGGGTCAAAACATAAATCAAACAATGAGGAAAAGTCAA